TTCAATAAATAAAAATGTGTAGAATTTTGTTATCCTTTTTACAGTCAAACGCATTTTCATCCTCGCAAAGTAATGATCTGTATTAAAACTAGATATTTCAATATCCATCGAATTCTTTTACTTGCTGTTGGCTTATGGCCTTATTGTAAATCGAATCTTGTTCAGTTTCAAATAATGCTGTGCTTTACTATTCTGATAAGTTTTATTATTTTTCAAGTATGTGTATTCTATATCATGTTTCACATTTTTATATGGGATTATTTTTATTATTTAAACTTTTTTAATAGAAAGGATTATTTAATTGATTAATTAGTGAATTAATTTAGTTTGACTAGTGAACTAATTTGATTAATAACTATTATATCTATAAGAAGTTAAGAATAGTATGATATACATATGTTCTGTCTGATAAAAATGTCATTATATTACTTTACATTATAAAACAATTTATTCCAAATTATTTCAAATTTTATTATTTCGTTAAACATATAAGAATATCTTTTTAATGCAAATTTTCATTGGTAAGTTCGTTATTTGCAGCTCACAATATTCTTGACAGCAGAATGCACTTCCCTTCTAGTAATAAAAGTTCTTTGTACCACAACGTTTTCTATTATATATGTAATAAAATATAATTCATTTTGGATTAACGCTCGTAATGTAAGTTAAATATGTACCATGTCTCACACACACACACACACACACACACACACATACACACACACACGCGCGCGCGCGCGCACACATGTTATATACGTACGTATGTACGCATATGTGTATGTATGTATATTATGTGTATATGTATGTGTATAAATAAATATTTTTATGTTTAAATTTCCACGCATGAGAAAGATAATCTTTTCTAAGCTTCCCAACCAAAAATATTTTATATATTATAAAAGGTAAGACATTTAATGGAGCGACTACAGCAAATCTGTAATGAATTAAAAGATGAGGATGAGATAAATATCATGAAAAAATATGGAAACAATACAAAACGTTATACAACTGCAATTACGTGTAAGATAATATGTATTATTAACATACTTCAAAGTTAATTAAATCAATCCTAACAAAAATAAATAATTGAATTATTCCAATATTTTCTTTTTACATTAAGCTAAAAATTGTGTTACATTTTTAAAATGCAGATATATTTAAAAAACATACAAGCAGATATATTTTCACAACAATAAATATACATATATACATGTAATTTCTAATATTACATTAAAGTATATAAAATTTTTGCAATTATAAAAACATTTTGCAAAACATATGAGATTGGTAATATAGTTATAAATAACAGAAATTTAAAAACATATCGTAAGATACATACTACTTTAGATATACTATAGAATAGAAAATATAAAATACTTTCTTAAAATGTTTTCAGTATTTTGCATATGCACTGTGTTTATCCTTATTATAATACCAATTCTGAATCCAATCCTTAATATTGTTTTGCATGTAAATAAATCTCAGTCACGTGAAATAATACACTTCACGATAATTCAGGAGTACTTTATCGATCAAGAAAAGTATTCGTTTTTAATTGTGTTGCATATGAATACATTCATATGCACAGGAGCGACTACATTAACAGGAACAGGAACAATGCTTTTAGGATATATGGAACACGGATGTGGAATGTTTAAAATTGCCAGGTAAAGAAATATATTTGTAAGAAGGAGAAAGAAACAAATTTAAAAGTTAAAAAGTTATGTGATTAAAAAAAAACTTAATTTTAAATTAATGCATAATAAAGCAATTTGATTATATATTCGTACATACAAGACTATATATTCGTAGCGAGTAATTAATTTATAGTTACCGTATGGAGCAAGCAATGACGATCAAAGTGTTTAAAAAAATTAGCACAAAAGACGAAATTATGATTCATAAAGAAATAATTTATGCCATCGACATTCATCGCAAAGCTATAAAGTTTGTATATATAATGTATGATATATGATCATATTATATTATAGTATTTGTAATAAATTTTTTTCAAGGTATGTCGAACTTTTGTTATCCAATTTTGAAGGATCATTCATTTTATTAATACTGGTCGGTGTGATATCTTTAAGTCTTAATCTTTTCGCAGTAAGTTGTGTTTTACATTTTTAAATATGTACTAAAAAATTATGACAATAATTAAAACAAAAAATAATTAACCTTTAATGACTCAGAAACTTTCAGAAAAAGATTGTATAAATCATTTTTTATATTCTTTACTTGTAATTTTATAGTAATATGTTATAGTATAAAATGAATAATTGTCAAGTATACAAAAATTTATAAGAACTACGTTATTTTAGATTTTTTGGGCTATTTCAGTTGGAAACAAGGAGGACTGCATTTTTCATTTTATTTTCGTGTCTTGCGTTCTTGTGTACATGTTTTTAGCAAATTATTTTGCACAAGAAGTTTTGGATCACAATAGTAACGTTCATGCTACCGCGTAAGAAATTGTTTCATAAAATGTTCAATTGCATTCCACTAATTGTGTTGTATGTTTTAATTAATCAATTAATATTAATAATATTAATAATTGTTAATTACATAAACATCATGCTAAATACAAAAATAATCAGTATATTTTTGCATTTGTCTGATTTAATAATTTGTTACAGAAGAAGAGAGATAAATTTTATATTCTTGAAATTTTCACAAATATTTCTTTTAAAATTGTATTATAATTTATTATCGTGACTAAATCATTATTATCCTATTATGAATCATAATAAAATAAACAATATTCATAAAATGTTTATTATTAATAGTAATTAATAGTTCATGATGACGTAAATTACAATTTTGAAAAAAAAGCTTTAATTTATGGACCAAAGACAAAAACATTTGTCAATAACTTATAATTCTCGATAATCTCAATTTTATTTAAAATGATATTATTACATACATACATTTATTTCATACATATTACATACATACATTTATTATATACATTTATAATAATAAAAGCAATAATTTAAGAAAATCTAAATATATGAAATATATGAAAATCTAAATATATATCTAAATATATCTAAATATGATAATCTCTCTCCCCCCCTCTCTCTCTCTCTCTCACTCTCTTTTTCTCTCTTTCTCTGTGTAATTAAAGACAATCAAATGCAAACTTACAGATATCATATAGTCAGTAATTGTTTTATTAGCAAACTTCTTTATTTATAACCATTATTTTGCAGGTACAATATTCATTGGTATATAGCACCCATACAAACGCAAAAGTTAATTCTTTTCATATTGCAAAAGGGAAGCAAAATTTTTGTCTTAAAAGTCGGCAAATTATTTGGTGCATCGTTAGAATCTTTTGCCATGGTAATGATCACTGTACATAATCATACATTTTGATAATTATAATTCGATATTTTCGCATCAAACATATAACATAAAACATATTTCATTACAGTTAATAAAGTTATCGATGTCATATTTCACTTTTATGTATTCTATGCAACAGTGAAAATATTTTATTTTACTTATATTGTAAAAATCGGCTACCCGAGGTAATTTCTATAATTAAAAAATTATTGCAATTTAAACAAAAAACTTGCATAACTTAAATAATATATAAATACTATAAAATAGTACTAAATACTATATAATAAAACTAAATAACTTAAATAATATATAAATACCAATTTCATTTTTGCTATTGAAATTAGCATTTGCATTTAATTGAATAAAATATAGTCAATAGATGTTTGCTAAAACAGGATGAAAAACAAAATGTTACAAAAAAAATGAAAAGTTAAAATTCATAATTAAATTGAAAGCGTTAATCTTTGACATATTCAATATTTGTATTATTGTCTAGAGTATTTTCTTCACTTTATTGTCTAGGATATTTTCTATGTTTCCGATCATTATTTTATAGATTTTATGTTAAAACCAAAAACAACTCGGCCGATGTTCTTATAAAAGATATAACGTATTTTGTAATAACGACTGTAGGCACAAAATATGAAATAAACATCACTAGAAAGAAGCAAGTTGAAACTTACATAGATTTCGATAAAGAAGTTATACATATATGTATTGTGAGAAATAAATATTTGTACTCTATTCGGCGATCTATTATTTTTTTCTAATAAAATTTTCATTATTCACCAAATATTATTACTTTAAATAATCATACTCAATTCACCTTTTCAAAAAATATCGCAACAATTCAAATTGAACATTTCATATCGTATGTAATTTACTCAGATATTCACAATCAAATTAGCAAGAAAAAAGAATATTTAGGATAATAAAATATTTAATTTAATTAGTTTCATTCACTTGGAAAATAAGCTCAAACATTTTTTATATACATGTTAATATCTTATACATATACGCCATATAATTTTTTTAATAAGAAATAATATGAAGATGAGAAATGAGAATCAGTGCTGTAAATAGTGCGCAATTGTATGTTTAATTTTAACTATGTTTATTAAGATTAAACATATAACTGCACTATTTACAGCATTAATTTTTATTAGCTATATTATTGTCCATTTATATTATATAAAAAAATCTATTTTCTATTAATATTTTAATAAGAAGTTTCCTACATAAGTTTGCTCAGAAAACTTCGAATTCTTAGTTATTGTGATTTCTTTTATATTACATATTTATTTTTTCTATAAACTTTTCTATAAATATACTAATAAATACATATTGTATTAATCGTGATAATATACTAATGTATTTTAATATAAAAGCCAAATAAATATCGTTTATGCATTTTTAAATCATATGATATCGTATGTACAAATAGTATAACACTTCTTATAAAAGTAGCTAATGGAAAATAGAAATGATTGTAATTCTGCAATAAAAATTGAATAAGACAAATTTATATGAACTTTGTTATTATTTTTAATGTCCCCCATTTGCTGCTAAAATAAGTCCCACACATTAAAAAATACCTCGTATATCTCGGACAGAGAAAAACAAAAAAATCTTATTACAGTTGCTGAGTATCGCAACTGTTTATATTATTTCATCGTTCTTCATTTCACGTGGAATTATTATAAAAACCGAATAAATTATAAAACGATAATTAAATATACATTATACGCCATCATCTAAAAGAAATGCTATTTAGCCGATAATCTTGCCAAAACTAATAAAGTGTAAAAAAATGTTAATTTTTAAAAGATAACAGAAAATTAAAAAAAAACATCATTTTCAATAAGTCTTACCGATAATAAATTAATAGCTACATCAACAATCTGGGTGATAATTTAGATTCCAAATGGACGAATGCAACTTACGAACATGCACCACAAAACGAAAGAGACACAATGAAATGAATGAGATATATCATTGTACTGGAAATTGATCAATACGCTTGCGCAAGCTTCTATCAAGAAACATATGTACAATATTCTTTTTACAAAAAATGAACATTCGTTCAATTTCCCACATTGTATCGATCGCTTAATCTCAGACATTAAATTACGCGTATTCTTACATCGAACTTTTTCATCAATTTGCATTACGCTCAAATTACACCAAGTAATTTACGATATGCATTTTATAAAAATTGTAAGTTATAAAATATTCAATCAATGGGGAGAAATATATAGACTTTCGTTGACTTTTTTATAATCAAACGCAATTCTATGATCACAGAGTAATGATCTGCATCAAAACTAGATATTTTAATATCCATCGGATCCTTTTACTTGCTATTGGCTTATGGCCTTATTATAAATCAAATGTTGCTCAATTTCAAATAATATTGTGTCTTGCTGTTTTGATAAGTTTTATTATTTCTCAGGTATGTATATCATATCATAGAAAGTATCCATATTATATATTTTTAGTTGCGTTATCAAGAAATATGTTAGAAATATGTTATGATTTGATGCTCCAAATGCGCGCACTAGACTCTTACATGAGCTCTGTATCTAATATATGCGAGTTATTCAAAACATTTGCAAATACCTGAGATTAGTATCGAATCTTAGAAAGGGCTAGATTGATGAAATTCTGAATGCAAGGCATAATATTTGGTTTTGAATCATAAAAATAATTCTTCTTTTCCTCTATGTGTCTTATGAAATATTGCGATATAAAGTACAAAAGTGTGTAAATTTTCATTTAAAAAACATCATTATCTAATGAAAGTTCTTTAGTCCTTTTTGATGTGCTTATAATAGATAATTCAAATTCAACTAATACAAACTGTGAGAATATCTTCAGTATCTCTATAGCGTATATAAATACATGTATAAGTGTACATTTAAATTCATATAAAAGAAGAAAGGTTATAACGTCAAATTTTTATATTCAAATTTTTCTCGAAAATATCAAAAATATTTTATTATTGAATTTAACTTTTGCGTAATATTATAATTGTA